GAATGAAGATATCATCGTCCCCAGCAGTATGCTGATGGAGAACCCAGGGCTCAGAGATGGGCAGCCACCTGGCTAAGATCACACAGCTGCTTAGTGCTGGGGCTGGGAGGTGAACTCAGGTCTGCCTCAGAGTCTGAGCTCTTCTCATCACTGAGGGAGGCAGAGCCCTGACAGGGTCTCCCTCAGGCAAAGGGAATGGTGCCCCTCACCTTCCCGGCATAGACAGGCTGATGGTAAACCTGGCATACCAGTTTTGCCACTGCCTGGCATGGAACCCATGGGCAGTTTGGTGTGTGTCCTTGAAGAAAAGGCATTCCTCGCCACACGGATGGTGATAATAACCATCATTTCCAGGCGACAGGATGCCAGGTCCTTTGGGGCATCTTATCTCTTGAATCCTTATAAGAACACTTTCCCCAGGGTGGGTACATCCCCATTTTACAGAAGAGCCTCAGGTACGTGCCAGGGCTGTGTGGTCCTTAGCCTGGCTCCAGTGGACCAAGCAAGAGGCAGCTGAGGGGCTCCAATCACACACCCCAGAGGAGATCCTCAGAGCCTGCTTCCCCCACCCAAGAAATAGCCAGCAAGCAAATTAGGCTACGGGAGCCCAGAACCTGGGGAATACAGAGTGAGCCAGGAGTCAGCTGTGAATAATGCCTCCGGTCAGCAGCAGACACGCAGCCTCAGGAAGGCCTTTGCTTACCCTTCCGTCTGCAGCCGAGGTGCTGGGGTTAAATGGAGAGCTGTCCTCCCAGGGGCCAGAGGGTCCCCAGGCTTGGGCTGGCAAGTAAGCCCTTCAGTCCTCAGATTCCCAAGGAGAGCACTACGAGGCCTATTATAATTATAATTATAATTATTTTTATTATATAAGACAAAGCGCTGGCTCTTCCTTCCAGGGAGATCCATCTCTAGGCCAGGCCCTCGAACCTGAGTTGCAGTCAGGAGTGCATGCCTACAGCCCTGATTGAATCCGATGGGCCACGCCAGCTGGGGTACCCACTGGTGTAGGGGGTGCTGCTGGCAACTGACACCCTGCAGTAAGGCCTTATAGGAAGCTTCCCGAGCTGGGAGACGCAGGAGCCAGAAAAGACGAGGGCCAACACTGCTCTGCCCCTGTGCCACACCCCGGCTCCACTGCTGCTGCTGGTGCTCCAAGGGGAGGTGAGCCTCCCAGGAAGGCCATTCCCGGTGTAAACACTTCCGAGGAAAGGAATGTGCTGGGAACAGCTTGCTCGGGCCACTGGAGCTGCGTGCAGCCAGCTGGGGTAAATTAAAAAAAAAAAAAAAAAAATCACCCCGGGACTCAGACAGCTTTTTGTGAAACTCAATCAAAGCCTTGCTGCCCACCTCCTGCCGAGGTGGGAGCATCCTACCTGGACAGGCAAGCCCAAGGGGACCCTCGCAGGCTGAGCGGGGCCCTCTCTCTGTGACTGCGGCAGAAAGGCGAGGGTCGCCTGGGCAGGCCCGGCGGGCGGAGGGCGCCGCCAAGCCCCGGACGCCGAGGTGGGCGCACGGCCCGGCCAAAGCCCCGTTCCTCTCCGCGCACGCAGGCTCGCACACGGCCGAGTCTCCGGTCGCCCGACTTGGGAGCTGTCTTACAAGCGATTAGACTCCATTTTGTGACAGATTTTTGGACTCTCCCGCCGACCCTCCCCCCTTCCGGAGCCTCCTCCAGGAATTCGCCACCTCCTCAGGATAGAAACCCTTTCCAGACCAGCGACAGACGGCAAGAAAAGAGTTACATAATTCTATTTGGCCAAGATGCCAAGAAAAAAAAATGGGGAGGGGGGGGATAATATTGTAATATTTTCATGTGTTCTCCGGTGGAGGGAGGAACGGGTGTTTGTGATTTTGCGTTTAGAGGCCGCGGCTCCTCCCGGTTTCTAACCGGGTTTTCTGTCCCAGGAGCTCGGGCAGCCGAGGGGCCCGAGCCCCGGGCAGAGGAGAACGGTCCGATGTTTTTGGGTTTGTCCTTAGAAGCCCCCGAAAAATGCGTCGGAGGAAAAGGGGACTTTTTCGAAATATGCATGAATATGCCAAGGCCCGAGCTCTCTTTGCCCGTGCAGGGCGTGCCGGTAGATTTGATCAAATGGTACTAAAAGCACCCGAATGCCAGTTAATCACCCCCATGGTGCATAAAATAACGTTCGGGATCTTCGAAAACAAATCGAGAGGAGGAATAGACGTTTAATAAAAACAGCAACCTCTTTCTAAGAACCGAGCCCGGCTGCTCCTCACGGGGAGGACTCGTTTTTTCCAAAAGTTACTGTGGAAAGGGGTGGGGGGGAGTGTCAATTTCCCAACACCGCTGACGGGCAGACAAGACAAAATGGAGAAGGAACGTTTCTGTGCCCACTTGCCTGGATTCTCGTCTGAAAGCTTTTATGCACAGATTCAATAAATATGCCTCTGCGATTCTCACAGAAAAAAATTAATCGTGAAATATATTCTTATTGTGCAAAGAACGTCGCTTCTCAAGTGAGCCCCTGCTTGCCTGGCTGCACTAGCTCTCCCTGAGAAACGCTGATGTGAGACCCACCTGGGTATCTGTCCCCAGAATTGTCTTCATCACCCATTCTCAGTCCCCCATCAGTCCGCCTAGTGCAGATTCCTAATTGGAGTTACTGGAAGAAAGAGGGGGTCAGGGAGGAGAGGGGCACCATGAGGGCTGTGAATAATGCCCACCTGGAGGTCGCAGCCCTGCAGGACCCAGACTAAGGGACTCGGCACCTAAGATTTGCCCTGATCCCAAATTCACTTGCAAACACACCTCCACTGCACTGAAGAAGAAAGCTCTTTAGGTGCCTCTTTTTCTTTCTAAACAAATATACTTTTGACAAAGCAATCGCAAATGTTTAATTGTAAAATGATGGCGATTGGCCGCTCAGCTCTAAGAGGAACACCCAGCTCAGATTTTGTGACTTTACAGTTCCGTGCTCTGAAGAACCAGGGGTATCCCCTCCTCGTTTTAAAAAGAAGCTCCATAAACAACTGGGGTAGGGAGAGAACGGGCAGATTTGTACAAGAGGTTGAAAAGAGTCTTTCCGATGCTTAATTTTTTTTTTTTTTCAAAAACCTGCACAAATGACTTGAGGGCTCATTTCCAGTTTCCTGGGCCTCCTGCCCCCATGTGTTGAGTTGTTCAGGCTGGTGGCTGAGCTGAGTAGGAAGTGGCACTGCCAGAGCAGAGCTCGGGCTGGGCGGGCAGAGTGAGGCTGCAGGACGGCGGGATGTGGGTGGGCTGGAGGCTGGTAAACCCTTCCGAGGGACTGCTTCGTGGGCTGGTTCAAAATCCCTGACCACATTTACCCTAAACTACTTTCCTCATTTTATTTGTGCTGCCCTATGCCTGCCTGTGGCTGAGCTGACTGGCGGGCAGCCTCACCTTCTCCTGGAACTAGAATCCCATCAGCCCAGGGCACAATGCAAACCCAATCAACGGCAGTGTGCTTAATGGGGGTGGGAATTTGCTTCAGAGGGGAGACCTCAGGTGGGCTCTGGGATCAGCGAAAGAGCTGAACTCTCTGAACCCAGCCCCAGTTCCTGCTTGCAGAGCCCCGGGCCAGTAGGAAGAGCACAGGGGAGCACAGCTAGGTTAGGTTCTATTGTGAGGCTCGGCCAGAGCCTTTTAGAGTAGAACCCGATTCCTTCTCAAGGTCTCTGACTTGCGGGTCCCACTATTTCCAGGCCTCAGCCAAGCACTTGGAGAGGTATGGAAGGGGCACACCAGCTGCTCCAATTCCTGGCAGGGCCTTTAGAGATTTAGAGACAGTCCCTGGGCAGAGCAGGCAGGCTGCACTGACCATCAGGCACTGGCAACCTAGCCTGTTCCCAGAGGCTTGGGCACACGCTGTCCCCTCTGAGTCCCAAACCACCTGAGCAACCTACCCACTCTGCAGCTCCATCTGAAAGGGTTTTCCAGGCCTCACTAGAAAGTTCTTGCAGGTATCCACTGGTCACCGTAATGCTGTGGGGATCCCCATGTCCCCCTTTCAGCTCTTGTGCCTCTCTGCCTCCCTCCCAATCACACTGCCAGGCACAAAACCCAGATGGAAGAGAGAAACAAAACAAAACAAAACAAAACCCTGCATCTACTCTTATCTGTCCCAAACTCCTTGCCAGATAAACCCAGTCTCAGCTAAAAACAAAAGTCAGCAAGCAGGTAGAGCTCAGGCCACAGACCGCTGGCCTCAACTCCGAGGCTTGAGCCACACCAGGGCAGAGCAGGCCACCCCGCCCCAACACATACACGTTGCAAGAAAGAAGGCCTGTTGGGGAAGGCTGACTCTGTCAGTTCCCCACCCCATGGGGAGCCCCAGACTGTGGTTTGCCACCTCTTGAGGTCCTCTTCCTAGACAGCTTCTTCAGCCAACGAAAATTATAAGAGCCAGAGTCCCGCATGGAACGGTTTGGGGAGGATGGACATCATTTTCTCTCCATCACAGACTAAAAGTACAGCATGAAACCTGGCAGGAAGGGGGTTTGGGGGCTCACTCAGGCAGCAGTTAGCACCCCTGCACTCCACCTCCGTGCTCCAGGAATTCCAAAGCCTCACAAACCCTCCCTTTGGGCTGGAGAAGCACATCGCCGGGGCCTGACTCCCTAAAACACTGCTTTCGTTTGGAAATAAATTCTTGGTCCCCAATTCAGACCTCATTGCGGCCAGGCCCTGTCCCAGGACCACAGCATGTATCCCCCGGTCGGCCCAGGGCCTTGTCCTGCACCCCAACTCAGGGGCCCAGCGCAGGTTTTCCGGACAAAGGACGGCAACTATGGGCTGCCAGAGGCTCCCGGCGGCCACCCCACCAATGTCGGCCGGGCTGGGATGAGTCGCCCCTGCCGGAGATGAGCAGCTCGCGGAGCCCTCGGAGCTGACAGGCCCAGCGGCGCGCAGAGCCGGCGGCGGCGCGGGCGCGGGCGCGGGCCTGGCCCGGCAGAGGGGATGGCCGGGCTCGAGGGCCGGGCGGCGGTGGGGAAGGAGGAGGACGAGAGGCGCTTACTGTTGGTAGTCTTGTTTGCAGTAAAGTTTCCGATCCCGGAAGTAGCAGCTGGTGGTGAGGGCTTGCTGACACGCCGCGCACTGCAAACACTCCTCGTGCCAGGACGACTCGTTGACTCGCATCAGGAAGCGGTCGGAGATGGGCCGCTGGCAGCCCTCGCAGACGGCGGGATGCGGGCAGTCGGAGCCTGCAGCGCACAGGACGAGAGCCGGGCCGTCAGCGCCGACCAGCCCGGCCCCGGCATCCTGGCCGCGCGGTGCCGCAGCCCCGGCTCCAAGGGCGAGGGCAGCCGGGCGCGCCGCCTGCGCTCCCCCGGCCACCGCGCCAAGGGCCGGGCAGCCTCAGCGAGTTCGTCCCAGTCCGCGGACTCGGGCGCGGAGAGGCCACGGGCCTCCAGCCTTGGCGCGGCGCTCTCCCCTCCTCCGGAGATCCAGCGCTTGGTGTTAACACGTATGAGAACAAGCACGGCGCGGAGTAGCCGGCTGGGACCGAGACAGCCGAGGTGAGGCTGGGGCGCTTCTGGCTGACACGCCCCATAGTGGCGTTCGTGGTCTTCTGTCCCTAATCTCCCCAAAAGCTACGGTTTGGGTGACTCAGGGGACATTTTCCTCTTAGAAGGTACCCCTCCCCAAGTGACCTGGCACCACTCCCAAGTTTGCCAAGGTGACCACTTGGGTCCTCCGTCACCCTCTGCTACCCGCCTCCTACCTCCTCCCTCCCGGGGTGGCAGCTGTAGAACCGAGGCCCGATGGGGATGCGGATGGCGGCTGGAGCTGTCCCGTCCACCCTCCTCCTAGGTGATGTCCCTGCATACCTCTGTCCCATCAGGATGCCTGTCTAGCTAGTTGCCCCTCTGTTGATCACTCCGAGTCTTCTCTCTGTGTTCCCCACATCCCCATGTCTTGCAAACCATTTCTTTTATCCGTTGGCCTGGACGCCTGTTTCCACCTCGGGACAAGGCCCCTGTCCCCTGCCCATGACCACTCGGGCGTTCCGACCCCGCACTCACCCAGCAGCACCCCCAGAGTGGCGGGCCCGGGGCGCAGGGCGTGCTCCTCCATCTTGATGCCGTCCAACATCTTGGCGCAGTCCGTCTGCCCGCGGGGAAAGCACCTCGACTCGGG